CCTCTCTAGGCAATACCGCAATAGTGAGAGGGCTTTAAAAATTGGTTCTCTTCTCGAATTTGTAGACGAAACCAATAAATTCGAGTTAAGGGATTTCAAATTGGTTCTTCTCTTTTTCTTCCTCTGTTCATCGGAAGCCCTAAATCTCCGTCGCCGGATTATTTCACTACCCCTTCTGTTGGGTTTTTTGTTTTCCGCCGTTGTTTCAATTGAGACGATACAATGTCGAGTAAAGTCTCCTCAAGTGGAGAGCTCTTGAGCCGGTGGAGAAGAATCGAAGAAGACGAAGAGGAAAATGATGATTCGGATCCCTCTACAGTACGACGTCTTAATCAGCGCAAAGAACAATGGTTTCCTTCTATATCTCTCTCTCGCTTGCTTATTCTGATAGTTCATTGTTAAATTGAGTGAAATACGAAATCAGACAAATTTTGAGCTATTACACTGCTTCGGATTTCACTTCAAGCTGATGTTTGTGTTCTTTAGGTTTACTGATGCATTCAGTTTATTGATATCTTTGCCGAAAGATACTCATATTTGGTGTGGGCATGGAGATGTAATGGGACCTCTTCTCGAGACGTTTTACAATTTCTTCAAAGATAATAGAGATGATTCACCTCTCAAGGTCTTGTGGAAGAGAATCTCTGAAGAAATGCGGCTTTGTGCCCAATGCATTTGTCAGCATCATCAGACTCAGGAGATGTATGAAAAAGAGTATGAGTGTTCTTCTGTTGGTCCACTACTTGCTGTGTTAAGAAAACTTGATGAGGAAAGGGTGACTAGGCACTTGCAAGAGATCAACTTGAAAGTCGAAAAAGGAACATATGATCCAGATCATCATCATGCAGAAGTTGTTAGTGTAATGTACGAGGTAATGTGGTCTGAGATTTTGTAACATTTTTTCATCCTGGAATGGGCATTTAATAACTTGTGAGCCTTTTGTTTTGGTGTCAGGTTTTGATGTTTCCGTTCTTCTTTGACGATATGTCCTTATGCTCTGAGTTTGAGAAATTCATTGAGTCAATCGACAACATTCATGAGCTAGCATTTGCTGAGAATCAAGAATTTCCGGTATAGTCATATCCCGTCGAGAATTTCTTGTGCTTCCTACTAAACTATATTTCTCTGACTTGGTATATTTTCGTATTTCATCCTTTTTAGGGCGTGTATGCACTTCTTTTTCTCAATAGAAGGGTGCGTGTAATTGGTTGTCGCTTGGCGAGGGCCATGGGGAAGTTGAGGTATTTATCCCTTTTTAACACATAGACTAAGTAGATTCATAATTAAATATATTCTCAGGACTGTCTTTAGTACTTGTGAAACTTTGATAGCTATCATGTATGTGATATTACCTGCTGTCATGGCAGGTCAGCAACCCAGTTGGAACGTCTTCAGCCATTGCTCAAGAAATTCGTTGGAATTCTGGAGATGGAGGGACTGCCTTCTGCATCTCAGGAACCACGGCCGAGGATTTATCTAGACCGCTCAGCCATATGGCTTGGGATGACATCATTGTAAGAGTTAGTGGCTAAATCTCCACTTATATTTTTTTCTTATAATGTTGTTCAATAATTTTATTTATTTGCTGATTCCTAAATATGTTTTGCTTCTTTAAGGCTCGAGTTCTTAGAAGGCCCTGCTTTTGAAGAGGGGATATTAGAGCCTTATCCCATTTTTGTTGATACTGTGTTGAATCATATAAGCGGTGATTCACCTGAATTTTCGCTGGCTGTTAATTGCCTGAAAGAGCTATTTAAGACACTTGGTATGGTAACTATTGTTGTTTTGCAAACTTCTCAGTTTATCTCGAAGTTCGATATTATGTTAGATGACACATTCTCATGTGATTTCTCAAAGGTTGTAAGCTTTGGCTTAGGTCTACCTTGTCCCCAAGTGTGATGCGTAACACATTATTGGGTCAGTGTTTCCACACAAAGGCTGAGAAGATCCACAAAGCCATTTTTGATCTTTTCCAGCCATTATTACAGGCAAGCTTGAATTAGTTTCTTTTACATATATGATTTATCTAAAGAGATTGACATGATTTCATGTGTTTTAGGCACTTTGATTTCATTATACTTACCTTGCCATACTATGCATTCCTCTCTGTCCAGTCCCTTGAGGCTTTGCGAGATGGTGAGCATGAAAAGCAACGTAGACACTTTCTCTACTTTCTGCTTCATCAGGTCCCAGTTAGCAGTAACTTCAGCATTTTAGCTAGAAGAATTGGCCACAAGGTAGTTCTTGTTCTTTCTTACTAATACACATCTGTTGCTTTTTTTTTATCTTCGAATGAAACTCTTTTATTTTATTTTATCTTCACCAGACTTTTTAAATGTATTTTTCAGATTGCTCTTCTTATTGTACTCAGAGGTTACAAGATGAACCCACCTTGCCCTCCCTTTGAGTGTGCACACATGTGGTTAGTGTAACTGGCCTATCTTTTCTTTTGCAGCTGTTTGATTTATCTGGTTCTTATTTGAGGAATTGGCATTCCTTTCATCCTTGGTTTTAATATTTATCAAATACTTTTCACAAAAGCATGAAGGATAGTAACTATGATAATTCTTGTTTCATATATAGTTGTGATTGTTTCTTTCTCCCCACAACCTTCCGTTTGTTTATGGCATTTTATTTTGTATGTCGGATGAGGACACTACGTTTTCTCATAGACAATTCATGGAAACCAACTGATTTGACAGGGGCCCATCTCTTGTGTCGTCGTTTAAAGATTCTTCACTTCATATTTCATTACGACAACCTGCAATTGATCTTGTCCAAGCTATCCTGGTATCTGATGCAACTGCCCTACTAGCTTCGTTGCTACGTAACAATACTGGTAAATATACGGGCAATGAGGTGAAATATGACGATGATGACAGTAATCTTCCCTTTTCTCATGCTGTCAAAGATGTAAGTGATCATCCGTGGAGTGACTTTACCCAGCAGAGCAAAATTACTCTTGGGGAGTGCAAAGAGTGGATGTGTATTCCGATGCTCTGGATTACTACTCTTACAAATACAAATCTTCTAAACCTTCCAGTATCGCTATCCCAAGCAGTATTTTGGTCTCGATCACGTTTTTGTTTGGTGGAATCTGAAAAGAGTGACGACATGACAGTTGATATCGAAACTTGGCTTTCATCTTCTGCTATTGAAATCAAAGGCACGCTTGGATGGAAGGTAGCAACAGGATCTGATGACGGTGGGCCAGGAAAGGAGTCCAAAAATTCAGTGACAGTATCAAAAATGTGTCTTACGTTGATACGAACACTGAAGAGGTACTTTTTCGTTTTGCTGTTGTGGTAGGAAAGCCGCTAAGTCTCTAATGCAATAGTGAGGTTTTTGGGTTTTGATTTTGTAGATTGACCAATTGTTTTCTAGTCCAAATGGGTGAAGAACATCGAAAACAGTGGACCTGGGTACCAGGGATGGGAGAAACCTTCATCCTTTCGCTTTCAGACCCAGATGATGTACGTAATGACCAGAAATGATTGCTGGGTACCATCTCAAGAGATGATTACTTTATATTTAAAACAATCTGGTTCAACTGCGTGAAAAGTTGAGCAATGTTGCTAGTGTTGTTTTTTGTTGACAGAATTTAAGGCAGTTTGGAAAGTCTATGCTGGAACACGTTTCAAATACCAGAGGTCTGTCTTGTGGGCTGAAGTTTCTCTGCTCTCAAAGTTCACACCTTGTATTTGTTTTTTCTGGAGCTAGACATGTTTTACAGCAGGTAGGCAGCAGCTAAATTTCATTGATACATACATACAATGAGTCCTTTAACTATCCATTTTGAAGTTTGTCTCACGGATCCAGGTTCAGTAATAATCTGCATTTTTCGGCTTTGTACGTAATGCTATTTTTTAATTTTTAGTCTTCGCTAAAGATACAAAACGTCCACCCTTTGCCACTATAGCAACTGAAAGTCTAGGATGAATATTTCACAACCTTTATTTGTGAGGTTCAGGTTCGTGACTGTTTATATTGCTGATATCTATCTTTTTTTTGCTGATTTTGGCAGGTCCATTTAAGCTCTGTTCTACGAAGTTTTCAGATCCTGCACCATTTTTTATTTTTATTATTCAAGCTGCTGAAGGAAGGGGATGTGGCCATTGCTGACAGTGTGAAGAGTTCCGCAGGGGGATTTTTGAGGCAACCTGACTTTAATGCTCCTCCTGTGATTGAGAGTAGAAATTCCTCGAGTGCTACCCCGGAGTTGCTGAAGTTTCTCTACTCGCTGGCAGAAGTTGCCTGGGGAGCGGTAAGGAAGTGCTTAGCTGAGGGAAAGTCTTTCATCCATCAAAGTCTTTGCCAGGTATTATTTAGTGAAAATACTTCTATTGCTTGTGCTTTATTCTACTGTCCTCTTGGGTTGTCTATCTTTGAACTGTATGTGCTTCAAAAAAGTCGAGCATGGCTTTTTGCTTAGGTTCCAATTGATCTTATTTGGCAGATGACATGTGTACGTTTGCTTGAGACACTTCCTGTCGTTCTGGGAAAACTTAGACTAAGCGGTGAAGAGTCATGTGCTACTAGAGGAACTTTGAAAGATGCATCTGATCTAAAATGGCTTCCTGATCTAATTTATTGGGGAAGGTCACAACTTAAAGTTGTTGTTGCGTATTGGAGACGAGCATTAGCGGCTTTGCTAGACATCTTGCAAGGATCAAAGAGTGACGCTTGTTCCTCGGCAGTCCAGGCTATCAGACGTGTTCTATCTTCTGGTAAGTAGTTTTCCTGCTTGTCAATAATTTCTATTTGGCAATTTATAATTGTTTCTCTGGTGCTACCCTGATAGAATTCATCATGCTCTGCCTCTTCTTAAATCAGATGATCTTGACATCGAGCAATTAGCAGAACAAATCTCACGTCTTGTTCCCAAGGCAAATGAGTACCAGATTCTCAAACCTGTTAATGTTGTTGGCAAAGCACCGGATAATTACATGGATCTAACAGAGGATGAGAATGAGAAGGAATCATTGAAGAACTTACCTTGTCTGCATAAGTCTCATCAACTTGATATCAATAAAACTCTTCAACCGGCCAAAAGCATCTCACAGGTTTCCTCTCTGAAGAAGAGTACATCTAGTAATGAAACTTCAAACTTTTCGGCTGCAGTTATGTCAGAGAAAGATGTTTCAGTGAGCTCCAGCAACATTGTCAGGGACCTTCCCACCGCAAATGCTGAGCCAAGCAAGGTTGGTAGTATGAGTAGGGCAGCAGAAAACAGACAAAATGTGGGAGGTCGTCTTTCATTTGAAAACGGAGTCAACTTAAAGAATGCTACTGATGAACCCATTTCTCGTGGAACTTCAAAAGAGGCCCAGAAATCTGCAACTTCCAACACAAAAGGCGTGGATTTGAGAAAGATTGTTAGTGAGACAGAGGTTGATCCACTGGACTTGGCACTAAAATCTCTGAAACCACAGTCATTACCCCTGGTAAAACCAGGGCCCGTTGTTCCCAAACGACAAGTCATTCAACTTTGTGCACCTGTAAATAAGAGATCTGATCGTTGGCAGAGGCAAGAAGCTGGATTTAAAAGATTCAGGCCACCGAAGCTTGAAGATTGGTTTAGAAAGATTTTGGAAATGGACTATTATGCAATAGTGGGATTGGCGTCAACGAATAAAGATGAGAAACAGAATGTCACAAAGTTTAGGGAAGTTCCAGTGCGTTTTGGCTCACCTGAGCAATATATTCAGATTTTCCAGCCGTTGGTGCTAGAAGAGTTTAAAGCACAGTTGCAAAGTTCATTCCAGGAGATATCATCACTGGAGGAAATATATTATGGTCTTCTGTCAGTTTTATCGGTTGAAAGAGTTGATGATTTTCACTTTGTCCGTTTTATGCAAGACGAAAATGATGACCCCAACTTGAAAACTTTCTCTGAGAATGACTTGATTTTGTTCACAAAAGAGTATCCAGAAAACAGTAGTCCTGGTGTTCAAATGATGGGAAAGGTATGTGGTATTTTGTTTTGCTTGCTTGTGTGTGATAAATTATAATCCGGAAAGTATATGCTTGAAAGTCATCAAGGTTCTATAGTAGCAGGTTTATATATGCAGGAACCTAGTTTGAAGCTTCAGTGAAATTTGATTTAATTAGGTTTATTATGAGTAGAGGGTTATTCCTGATGTTCCAATACTTGAACATAGTTGTTGTATAAAATACTCTGTGATGAGACAAAACCATCAGGATTTGGGCTTTCTTAGCTTGTTCCATTTTCACTTAATTTCTCACATTTTATTTTGATCTTTACTGGCCTTGATGTTTCTTAGGTGGAAGGACGGGAATGGGATAATGAAAAACGGTCCAGTATTTTGAATGTACGTTTGTATCTTCTGAATGCGTCTTCACGACTAAATCAAGCTAGAAGGAATCTCTTGGAACGTAGCCAGTGGCATGCAAGTCGCATTCTAAACATTACGTCCCAAATTAGAGAGTTTCAAGCTCTGTCATGCATCAAGGATATTCCCGTTCTTCCGGTGATCTTAAGTCCTGTGAGTGACTCCAACTATGACTATGAAATTAAAGGATCAGATCTGCGATCACTACCACATCCTCTACAACAAATACTCAAATCATCTTTCAATGAGAGTCAACTTCAGGCTATTAGTGTTGCCATTGGCTCATCCAATTTGACGAAAGCTTTTGACATTTCACTTATTCAGGGGCCTCCAGGTTAGTCTTTTTCTTTCTTTGTCACTAATAATCAATTATTATCTATACTATGCTATGGTTAGTCATTTTCTTTCCTTGCAATAATAAGCTAGTATGATCTATAATATGCTCTGGTAACATCGTACGCTAGTCGTTGATCTTTCATGAATGTAAAGAAATTTTGTTTGCTTGATAGGAACTGGCAAGACTCGCACTATTGTTGCAATTATCAGTGGTTTGCTTGCATCTGTTTCACGTAAAACAAGTGACAATGGAAATTCTGAGCAAGATCATAATTCTTCTACAACTTCTAGGCAGAGAATGAATCCGAATGTGGCTATTGCAAGGATATGGCAAGATGCAGCTCTGGCCAAACAGCTAGATGATGACGGGGAAACAAATAAAAAGATAGCAGAAAAGATTGGTAGGGGAAGAGTCTTGATCTGCGCTCAGTCAAATGCTGCAGTTGACGAATTAGTTTCACGGATATCTAGTTTAGGCATCTATGGCAGAGATGGGAAGATGTTCAAACCATATCTTGTGAGGGTTGGAAATGCGAAAACTGTTCATCCAAATTCAATGCCCTTCTTTCTCGATACCCTTGTCGATCAGCGTTTTGCAGAAGAGAGAATGCGGATAAACAATGCCAAGAGTAACAAGGCTGCAGATTCTTCTGCGTTACTGCGCTGTAATTTAGAAAAGATCGTTGATCAGATCACCCATTTTGAAGCTAAGCGGGCAAACTTAAACCAGGAAAGTTTAGACTCCAAAGATAAGCTGGGTAATAAAAACCTTGATAAAGATGATGATGGCAAGCCAATGTCTGATGCAGAGCTTGGAATAAGATTGCGGAGGCTATATGAGCAAAAGAGAAAAATTTACAAAGATCTTAGTGCTGTTCAGGCTCAAGAGAGAAAAGCTAACAATGAAATTAGAGCATTGAAACATAAGTTGCGAAAGTCTATTCTTAAAGAAGCTCAGATAGTCGTTACAACTTTAAGTGGTTGTGGAGGAGACTTGTACAGTGTGTGTGCTGAATCTTTATCAGCCCATAAATTTGGCAGTCCATCTGAAGATAATTTATTTGATGCGGTAGTTATAGACGAAGCAGCTCAGGTACATATTCTACATGCTTGATTGTTTGGCATAGGAGTTCTTGTCACGACTTATCACTACTTGCTTTTGTGGCTTTTTACAGGCTCTGGAGCCGGCTACATTAATACCTCTACAGCTGTTAAAGTCGAGAGGAACAAAATATGTAATGGTGAGAATCATTCACTTGCATCACAAAATATCCTTTCAAATCCGCATTTCAATCTAATAACCTTGCCTATTGTTACAGGTTGGAGACCCAAAGCAGCTTCCAGCAACTGTTCTCTCTAATGTTGCTAGTAAATTTTTGTATGAATGCAGTATGTTTGAACGTCTACAAAGGGCTGGGTACCCTATCCTTATGCTTACGCAGCAGGTACGCTAAATATTCGATTTTCCGCGCCTTCAGGTTTAAGTTGGAAGTTTTCCTTTCACATTATTTTCTCTTTATAAAGTTTGTTTCAAACTTGATGAAATTGGTGTTAGTGTCTGGAACTTGGGCTGATTTTTCTCTGCTCAAAACAGTATAGGATGCATCCAGAGATTTGTAAATTCCCGTCTATGCACTTCTATGACAATAAGTTGCTAAATGGCGTTGACATGTCAAGCAAATCAGCCCCATTTCACGAGAGCCAGTGTCTGGGGCCATATGTTTTCTTTGATATTATTGATGGGCAAGAGCATCGAAGTGGGGACTCAAGCTCCGTGTGCAATGAACAAGAAGCTGAAGCTGCTGTTCAACTGCTTCGATTTTTCAAAAAGAGGTATTTCCTTATCTCAAGCTCTCTGGTCACTCACGTTTTAGAAAGTTATTAAATATTAATTTCTTCACTGGCTGGCTCGTTGTGTACAGATACCCGTCTGAATTTGTCGCTGGAAGGATTGGCATCATTACTCCCTACAAACGTCAGCTTTCGGTTTTGCGTTCTCGTTTCTCTAGTGCATTTGGATCCCAAGTGGCAGCTGATATGGAACTGAATACTGTGGATGGCTTTCAAGGCAGAGAGGTTGACATATTAGTGTTATCCACTGTAAGAGCTACTCGTTCTTCTTCTGATGGGAGCAATCAAAGTCGGATTGGTTTTGTTGCAGATGTAAGACGCATGAATGTTGCTCTCACAAGAGCAAAACTCTCCCTTTGGATTTTGGGAAACACACAAACCTTGCAAAGAGACCATAACTGGGGCGCTCTTGTGAAAGATGCAAATGAAAGAGGAGTCATCATACCAGTTAAGAGACCGTACAACTACATGTTTGGCGAGAAAAAGGCGGATCAAAAGCATGACAATCTTCCAAAGAATTTTCCTGAGCCTGAGAAACAGCATTCTCGCCGTAAAGAACAGAGAGCAGAGACATCATCTGACAGAATAATGAGGAAATCTGATGGAGATGTTGTGTCTCTCTCTTCAAAGGGATCAGAGAGCAAGCACAGTAGACGAAAAGCCAAAGAAGAAGCTTCTTCTCACAGGGGAAAACTAGCTGCAAGCAGTGAGAAAGTAACATCCGAAGTTAATCCTAGATGGAACCAAGAAAAGAGAGAAAAAATGAAAGGTACAGGGAAAAGCAGTAACCCGGAGATTCAAGATGTAAATACTTTGAAGAACGAAGATCCAAATGCATCAAAGAGATCTAAGAAGGCTTCATCAAAGCCTGACAGTAGCAAGAGGGCAAATCCCACAGATGAGATTGAACAGAGAGAGAGACAGATAAGAAAAGGCAATGCTTCTAATCAAGGAGGTGTCCAAGATACGATATCCAAACGAAAACAACAGCGCGAAGCTGTTGCTGCTATTCTAAATTCGTCTCTGATTCCTTCTCACAAGCCCAAACCTCCAAAGCGACCATTGTCCCCAAGTTCAACTGCAAGCAGTCACGCAAGACCGCCTAAAGCCATAAAAGGTAAGATTTCACTACTTATCTAATCTTCTCACAAATGATGTTCTGTGTCAGAAGGTGATGTCTTAATGCTGAAACCTTTCACTTGATCTTCTTTCTTATTCACAGAATCTACCAGGAACAACAGTAAACAAAGATAACAAACTACTGATTCCACAAATGTTCCCACAATTGTGAACCAGTTGCTAATTGCCGGTTTTCTGGGTAAGTTTTATACATTTTGGGAGAACATTTTGGCTAACTTGTAGACTTGTAGTGGATTTGCATATGCTCTCCAACTGCAAAATTTTGGCTGTAAAGTTGGTTTGGTTAGAGAATTCATTTTCTTGTGTATATAACCTTCTTTATTTAATTAAAGTAAGACTGACATGTCGCTCGCTAATTTTTGTTTTCTTTGGCTTTATAAGGATTTTAGAACAAAATTAACTGGCATAATTTGGTTTTTCCAATAGTACAAATACTTGAAGTGGCTAATACAAGTAATACTCAATTTCTCACTCAACCAACACCGGAAAAAAAAAAAACTCATAAAAACCAAATCATCGGAGAATATTCCTTTCTAACATTTTTCAAGAGGTCGATGACGGATCCGTCCCACTCTTAACGGCGGACCAAACTTGGCCTATGCCTCTGGTAACGTGAGGCCAAACGGCGTTAATTCCGTTAAGTACCGTACCAGAAGCTAACCCTAACACAAAAGTCTCAACGTATCCAGGTTTCGTCTCCAATTTGGCGTCGACGACGGCAAGCCTTCCGTTAATGGCGTCGATTTTTCTCGCGTCGGTCAAAAGCTTATCCTTACTCGAAGCGTTCCTGGAGGACGAAACGACTCGGACCAGCGCGTTTTGTAGGTCTTCGATGACCTTAATCGATGCTTCTGCTGGTTCGAGCCCTCGTTTCTGGTAGTGAGAGATTAGCTCCGTTGGAGTTGGGAATTTCTTCGATTTCTGCTTTGCTCCGGTCTGGTTTTGTTCCGTTATGGTTTCATCCGCCGCGTTTGGTGTCGCCGGTTGCTTCATCTTCTTCTTCGGAGGAGGAACAAAATGGGATTTGATTCTCACTCTTATCTGGGAACTTGAAATTGGATTTCGGAGAAGAAAGATAATAAAGTTGATTTTAAAACTAAAAAAAAAAAATCAACTTTGGGTAATATTTTCATCGTGGACTGTATTATTGGGCTTGGGCCTACGAATACAGTGAAATTAGTAGTTTTCTTACTAAACGATACATTATCCCCATTACCTTAAGGATTGCGTCTAAACACAAAAGTTAGGAAGAAATTATTAAAATCTGTATGATGATGATTTCGTATGTTTTTAGGTAGAATTACAAAAACAGTAGATATAGATTTACACAAAACTTGACACTAAGAGAACAACACTAACGTCACTATATCATCTAAATCTTCATATTAGTCCCATGTACCGCGAAGTAGCGGAGTAGCTACAACATCGTCCCCGAAGATCTTCAAAAGATCGCACTCGCCAACACTGTCAGGCTCCAACTCCATCCCTAACTCTTGCTCTATATCATCAGAAGCAGAGATCAGTAAAAACTCACACCCTTCATAATTCAGGAAATCAGGCGGGTCGGCTGCCCCGAACCGGGTATGACCTAAATGGGCCTGAAGATGGGCTGGAAACTGGGCCTTTCTTTTTCTCTTGAGCCCACCAAACCCTGACCTTCCTCCTCCTCCTTGCTCCGGGTTTCGTATTTGGATCAAGAAGGAGCCTTCCGGTTCAATGTTCAACGACTCTTGTGGCTCATGTTCTCCCGATGGGAATTCGAGCTTATAGACAAGATGTGTATGGTGTTTTCTTGTCGGAGTAGGTTTATGTCGGAGAATTCGGTATATTCCTTCTCCGACAGCTCTTGCCGGCGGCTTATGTCTATGTCCTCGAGTCTTGGTCTCGTAATCCTCTGCAAACACAAATCAAAATAATTTCAAGAATCCCCTCTACACAAAAGAAAATCATGAAAATTTTTACCTCCTTTGAGAGCATTTTTAACATCTTCAACATTCTTAGTCACCATCTCCACAAATCCCCAAAAAGGTTGAGACTTCTTGCTCGGATCAGGAAGAGTTTTCTTACCCATCACAATGAATCGTAGCAGAATCTGTTTCTCAATGTTCACTTTCTACAGAAAAAAAAAAAATCAAATCGAGATCAAATCATAATATTACTTTAGTAAGTGACTAATCCGTAGTGTAGTGTTCTTCTACCTCGACGCCGTGTCCTCCTTCACTTCTGTTATTCGTGCCAGAGGAGGAGCCACTAGCCTCATCTCCGTCACCGGAATCTTTACCGGAACCTTCTTTACCAGAGAGAGGGTCTTGTTTCTCCTCGACGGGATTCTCACCGGACTCTGGACGCATCACTATGTATAGCCTTTGAACATCGTCGACACTGTGAGCTTCTTCTTTGTTAACCTTTGGTCTATAGAAGAAGAATATTTCTCCTCTTTCCTGATTAACAGACCAGAGTCACTAAGAGACAGAGAGAATCTTGAAAAAAAAAAACAGAGTAAGGTAGTATAAAACCTGAATCTCAACTTGAGGATCTGGTCTCGTCTTAACTTCTTTACCTTGTCCCATGGTTTATTGGACTTTGTCAACACAAAGATTGCTCTTTAGAAAAACACCCAACAATTAACAGTATTTTGTCTTAATTAAAAGAGGTAAGACTTAACACTTGACAACGTTATAACACTCCCACGTTTTACTGTCTATTACGTGTCGAAATAACAAGTCACTCACTGTCAAAAAGATTAGTCCTAAAATAAATTATATAAAGTGGTTCTAGATAGTGTTGCCCCTAATTAATTAGTTATTAAAGAGTGGTATCATCCTCTTTAGAGTCGGACATGATTTGCTGGAATCGAGGGTCCATCACGACATCGTTCTATTCCTGCATCACCAAAGAGAAAATGATAAATTTCTCAACCCAAACTAGATTGAATAATTTTCTACCAAAAACAAAAAAAAACTATATTGAATATGACATCGAGGGTCAATCACGAGCCGGTACTTCGGTTCGGTAATGAAAATCTTTGGTTCAGTTCATGTTAAAATTATATGTGCCGAACTCGAACCGGAAAAATGATTGGTCCGGTTTTGAGGGCCAAAAGTTTGGATTTTTTCAATAATACTGGTACATTTCGATAAACTTCGGTAAATCTTGATAAAAAAATGGGTAATTTCGGAAGTTCGGTTACGTATGTCGTTTTAAATGTCTTGATTTTTTTTGTCGGGAAAATTGTTTTTCATATAAAGCCCAAAATTGGGCCAAGAACTACAAGTGGATAAATTATAGAACCCCAACTTTGACAATAATTTAAGCCCATTAGCCCAATCATAATGATTTAACAAGAAGATAAGGATTAAACTATTAATGATAACACGTGTCTCCGAATGGCCGGAATATTCCATCGCCGGGTAATCTCCAAACCACAACGACAACAGCTCCGGAGGCGATTTCTCCTAAGATCCATTGACATCGAAAGTATTAATCCACCGAAATCATCTAACTCTGCAACTACCCACCGTAGATACCCCTTGAACAGTCCAAACCGGTTCGGCTTCAACTAGATCCGCCTCCTTCCTTCTTAGATTAGTCTCATCTCCGATCATCTTCACCGTCGGACACTTGATCCCACTACCTAACCTTGAAGAGGCCCATGACCGATGCATGGAGGGACAAAGGCATCATTACTCCTAGATGCGAGAAGATCTGAGCAAAATCGAAATTAGCGGAGCTTCATCTATACCATTGGAAAGGAAAACACTGCAAGAGGCAACGATACACACAAAAAGATACCGGACTAAGCCGGAAGATAAATCCGGACAAGCCGGAAAGCCGGTCCG